GATCTGCCACCAGGACAGGGAGAGGTAGACAGTGCCACAGAGAACACTCCATGCTCATGGAAAGAGAGTTACCCAACCAAATGGAATTTGTTTGCCCATGTACAGCGGCCAAGTGAGGAGTCAGGAGATTTGGAGGTTTGTATCTCACATCCATCTTTTTCTTTTTTTTTTTTTGCATCTAGCCTGTACAGAGAACCGAACCCTTGACCTTGGTTTTACATGGCTGTGCCCCTATCAACTAACCAACTGGCCAGCCTTTCAAATCCATCTTGTACACAGTGGGAAAGGAGTTATATTTATGGGGATGTTTTGGGGGTGGTAGGAGGCATGGGGATTGTGACTGGTTAAAAGGCATGCAGGAGTCCCCAGCAATCTGCACAGGCACAAGCGTCTGCACGCCTCTGCATGTTCAGAGAAATGGCAGCATTAGCAAGATCTGGAGGGGGGTCTTCAGCCCTCTGACGGCAGAAGGTCACCCATCAGACATCAGCGCAGGCTCAGTGGTGAGATCTACGGGCTTAATCAGCCCAGCCCAGTTTGTTTTGGGCCAAGCTGACTCCAGCTGTCCTGCAAAAACACGTTAGGTACACACACATCTTGTGACTTCTGTGCCAGAGGCATTATCCTAAAAAGGCAGACAGGAAGAAACAGAATGAGAAGTTAGTTATGGAAATTTACTAAAAGAGTGAGCGGTTTAAACAGGGAATAAATTTCAGCTGAAAAGCCACTGTTATGCATCCTTGGCCATCTTGGTCCTGTACCCACACTGAGGCTGGGACAAAGTAGGGCCCTGGTGGGTGAGCAGGGAGGGCTACCAGGCAGGTGAAACCACTGACATCCACAACCAAAGTGTGACAGATGACCGCAAAATCCAGTGGGTGAAAGGAAATGTTTCAAAATTAGGATGATTGACCTGGCAGCTCCAAAGGGGAGTTTTCCCAGTAAGAACAGGAATACAGTTGTCCTGGCTGCCTTCCCAAATTAAGATTATTTTAACTCTTCCCACCTTCCCACGCCCCTTAGACTCCTCCTGTCCTAGAGTTAAGACGAGTAAAATATTTATTTTAGGTGATGCAAAAGACCGATGTTTCAGGGGCTCTAACACTATTGTTATTTTGCCATCCCTGCGAGCAGGGGCAAGATTGCAAAGGTTTTTAGAACAATTGGAGCCTTTATACTGCACAGGGATGAGGATGATCAGGCATAGGGCAGAAGGGCAGAAGAGGAGTGTGAGCTGTGCTACTGCAGCTGATGGTGCGGCTGGGCGCTGAGCCCATGATTTCATCCCAGCTCAAAGGCAGTCAGGCAGAAGGAATTTCCTCTCACTCAGGGAAGGTCAGACTTCTGTTCTTTTCAGGACTTCAACCATTTGGATAAAGCCCATCCACATTAGAGAGGGCACCCTGTGTGACTAAGTCTATCAATTTAAATGTTAAACTCATTCAAAACACCCTCACAGAAACAGCCAGAATTATGTTTGACCAAACATCTGGGCAACCTGTGGCCCAGTCAAGTTGACACACAAAATTAACCATCACAAGTGGGTATGGGGTAACTTCAAAGAGACAAAGATTGGTCTGCTTGAAGAAAAACCTTAGAAGAGTTCATTCATGTCAGGGCTGGACCCCAAGAGAGTTAGGGCACTGGGGTCTACCACTCAGCTCCAACGGTTACATTTCTGAACAAAGGTTATATCTATTGCAAAACAAGCTAACAAACAACAACAAATATCACCTCTCTCTAACTGTTTTCTTTTGAATCTCCTCCCACCACCAGGATAGCCAGGATCATTACCAGGGAAGAACTATCCTGACACTGTGAGCTTCGTCCTTAATTCAGGGATGATTGTCCTCTGTGTGCTCTGAGCATCTTGTCACTTGACTCCCTCCTTGACTAACCGATCTAGTATCCAAAACTCCAAGCTGATCACCTAAGGCAGTTGTTCTATTACCAGCATCCAGGTCCCACTGCTCTCCGCTCAGAAACAAAAGACTCCTCAGATCAAATGTTGGTGCAAGGCGGGAAGTGTATTATTAGATGACTGAGGAGACACTAGAACTGTCTCCCCATCTTAAGGTTTTGGCGAGGGGGGCGGGTTATGTAAGACAAAAGGACAAAGGGAGAAACGTGTTGGAAAATACAGAAGGCGTAGGATTGGTGAGCACGTGCAGATCAGCATGTTTTAATCTTCGTCGCTGGGCTCAGTCTTGAGAAGCCTGGAGTCAGACCTCTTGTTTCTGGCTTTATCTCCTTCCCGAGATACCTGCAACTTCAGAAGAGACTGTTAGTTTGCAAGTTGCTGAGCCAAGGCCTTGTCTTATTCCTCCTACAAACTGCAGCAACTGTTCATTGTTCAAGCAGAGTTCTCTCCTCAGCATAGGCTCTAACATGGCTGCCCTTATGCTAAGCTAGTACTTGTGATGCTCTATCAGTTCTCACCCTAGCTGCACATTGGAGTCTCCTGGTGAGCTATAAAAAAATTCTATTATTTGGTTCCACCCTCAGAAATCTGATTTAATTGGTGGGGTGGCGGGGGGAGCGGGGGGTATGGCTGTGTACTGGTATTTTTAAAAGCTTTCCAGATGGTCCTAATGTAGCCAAGATTGGGAACTAGGGGGAAGGTGAGACATCCTTGGGGGGAGGGGGGATTCACCCTGTCTAGGATCACAGGGCAATGGAGGACTGGGATTGACAGGTCCTAGGACAGATTTGAATGGCCTGAAATTGAGGAGCAGGCCCTGGACTATGGGGGTCCTGCCACGGTCAGGACCTTGTCAGCCTTTCTTCTCTGTCCCTCCCTGTTGTCTCTTTAGCTGTAATAACACCTACCCTGGCATAAGGGCTGGGAAGTTTTTTTTTCAGCGACTTTCTCGGGGCATTTATTTCTGCGTTTCAAATGCCAGGCACACATAGATAGACATGTACACGTAGTCTCACCTGGGTATACCTTCTCTCTTTTCCCAGGAAGCAGGCAAATGGTCACATATAAGAGTGTAGCTTCAGAGGAAGATTTTTTGACAGAGAAAGCTCTGCTGGCAACAGCTCTGTGGCCTTGGGGGAAGCACTTCTCCCCTCTGAGCCTGATTTCCCCATCTGTAAAGTGGGAAGAGAGGCTCTGAGGTCCCTCTAGGTATGACCGTCTGTGGTTGGAGAGGCAATATGGGACAAGAGCAAGGGCTGTAGACCTGGAATCTATAAAACAGGGAGAACAGTATTTGTCCTGCCAAACTCACAGGGCTCTTGTCAGAATCAAATGAGATAACCTGTTACTAAATACTTTGTGTACCCATGAATCAGTCAGGGAATGCCAGCTGCTGTAACAAGTGACCCCAGACGTGACTGGATTAACACAGCAAATGCTTATTTCTCACTCACATCACAGTCCAATCTGGGAGCCAAGCAAGTCCTTCAGGGACTGAGGTTTCTTCCTTCTTGTGGCACCATTATCTCCACCATGATTCCTCCAAGGTCATGGAGGAAAGGGAAGAGGCAGTATGGAGGATAGTGCAGAGCATGACATCATTTTCACCACATTCCATTGGCCAGAACTCAGTCACATGGCTACTGTCTAACTACAGGGGAGTCTGGGAAATGTAGTCTTCCCGTCTGAATGCAACAAACATGAAATTGGTTTGATGAACACATGGCATTATCTTGCCACATCTATGGAGACTCTCTGTGTGTATTCCTTTCAAATGCTATTTAAATGTTAGGTATTGATGGTAATACTAATACCTGAGAGTAATAGCTCACATTCCTGGGTGGAGAGGAGGAGAAGAATAATGGACGTCATTTATTTATTGACCATTTTGAGTCAACAATGATGTTAGATATGCCCATCATATATGATCAACCCTGAGACACTTAAGGCACAAGAAATATCCTATTTCTTTCTTTCTCTTAATCAAATAAAATCCAGCTTCAACCTCTAATTTTCCAAGGTTAATATAAATCCTGCTATCATTTCCTGGGGTGCTACCCTGTTCTTTGAGAAGCTCGTGAGAAGCCCAGGGCTTGCAAAGTCTCGGTAGTGGGAAGTCTGTGGTCTCTAGTGCACTGTGGCTGCAGTCTCCGGAACTGCTTGACCAGATATGCACGGTGCATAGGGAGACGGGGCTCCTCTGCCACCACTGGTAAGCGATGTCCCAGCCAGTCCTGGTCTTCCTTATTCTCTGGAACCCCACAACCTTTGTGCCGTTACAGTCTTGGGGAATCCAACCTTCCACCCTTGGGTTGGGCCACTCTCTAAGAGCATCAGCCTTCACCCCACCCCTTTTAGACAATTAGCCTCAATTAGCTGTATCAGCTAGCCAGGGTCTCAAACTCAAGTGCTTCCAGGGGCCAGGCAGAGGATGTAAATGAGTGAAATCAGGAGAGTGGGAACTGTGAACACCTAGGGAAGCTGTGCCCATCTCAAGGGGGCAGCTGCTCCTCACACCCTGTCGATTGTCACATGTGAGAAGAACGCATGCCCAGTATGAACAGATTTTCAGATTTTCAAGAGATGCCAGAAACCCAAACTTTTATGCAAATATCTTGATTTGCAAATGTTGGCAGCTAATTCAGTGTTGTTGTTGTTGTTGTTGTTTAAGACACTGCACAAGTCCAAACAAAACATGTCTGCAAGCCAGATGTAGACCAAAGCCTGAGAGTTGGTTCCAGCTGCCCAGACTTTTGAAAACAAAGTTTGTCTGAGGTTGTCTCCCAGGACTACTGGCAAGTTCTCTATTTTTCTCTGCAACATAAAAACTTAACTCCCCTTGCAAAGCAGAGGAACCTAGGGCTCAGAAGACAAAGACCTGGCTGCCCGTCTAATGAGGGGGAAGGGAGGAAATCATGGCTTTCACAGTTTTAAGTCTTTCTGTGCAGTCCACAGTGAAAGAAAGGGAGCTAGAGAGAGAAGGGAGGGAGGGAGAGAGGAAAGAAGGAGGGAAGAAAGAAGAAAAGAAAAAAGGAAGAAAGGGAGGGAAGATAAAGAAAAAAACAGACATAAAACCAATTAAGTTTTAATAACTCACCCTGTGTTACATTAACTCATTCAATCTCACGCAAGGTGGAGATTGTGACCAGCCTCCCTGCCAGGCTATGATTTCCTTGTCAGTCCGGGGAGATGCTGCACTGCCCAGCAGAGTGACCAAGTGGGCCACTGGGGGCTGTCACACCCTGCCCACTTTCAGCCTGAAGGAGACTTGGGATCAGGCCTTGACAATGACAAGCCTATCACAGGGTGACAAGTGGGAGCCAGGAGGAAAGTGGAGGCTCCAGAGACGGCCAGATGGCCCCTGTAGACTTTGCATAGGCCCACCCCAGAGCCATGGAGGGGAAGTCTGTGAGCACCAGCATGGCGAATGTTGAAGCAGAGACGGCAATGAAGTACGCGGAGACAACAGCAGTTGCCATTGCGGGACTAGGGGCGACCGTTCACTAGGCTGGTGAAGGCCTAGAGTCAAAATCCAGTGGATATTTATTATGAAAGCCCGTGAGAAAAGTATGCAAACAGGGATAAAGGAAGGGGAGACCCCAGGGCATAACTTCTTGAAATTTTATTTGAATAGACTATACTGCATACTCCCATGAGTTCAAGGACCCTGTGTTTGCAGCAGTTTCTGTCAGCTCGTGTTATCATCTTGAGAAACACCACGTACAGCACATCCCGCACGGGTACGGGTGCCATGTGTCTCTTCTGGCCGTGGCCAGAGGTTATGACTGTCCTCTTAGCAGAACATATCACAAGATGTTAACCTCCTACACACCAGGGCCCATAATGCCTCAGCCTAAGCAAATTTTAACACTTGGACTTCGACCTGCTGATTTTTAAATCTGTGATCTCCATCCTACTTACCTCCAGAGGAATCTGAGGCAATTAAGAAATACATTAAATAGAACATAAGCAGGAGCACAAAAGAGGAGCCCAGAAGAGACATCCCTGTCACTTGAGATGAGCTGATTTTTGAGGCTGGGCCCCAATTTGGCTATAAGTTTCCTGATAGCCAAGTGAAAAAGGGAACCCCTGAAGCATGTGGTTTGTGTGTCTGATGACTAGAGAATATACACTTTCCTGTAAAGACAAACTCTTCGTTGGAGATAATTGCAAAAAGGAATTTATTGTGTGGGGAGTGTTTCCCATACTTCCTGTCTTAGTCCAGATCCTCCAAGAAGCAGATACCAAGGCAGGATTAGACGTTCAGGGATTGATGTGCGGAAACATCTGTGTGAGAGAAATGGAGAGAGAGCTGAGAGAGCAAGCTGTCAGACCCTGAAGCAAATCTGACTCCGAATGAAGGAGAAAGGGAAGAAGGGTTGAGTGGAAATGTCTTAGACAGAGGGCGATCAAGGAAAGGCTCAGCAGGGTGGTTGGTTGAGCCAAATTTAGCCATCAGAGAAGATGGCTCTTGGGGAAAGGCTTGCTTTAGAATCCCTGCTGCACTCTGTATTGGCTGGTAAGTGTGGCCCAGCACCACGTGATGGATTTCAAAGCACAGCAGCTGGGGACCTTGGTCAATTAAACTCCCTGCAGTGGTAGGCCAGAGGGGTGCATTCTCATGGCTACCACACTTTCCAAATGCCAGTTGCTTATTTCTGTACCTCCTTCATGTTTTGCATGTCAATGTACTACTGCTAAAGAGAAAATTATTCTGACACTTGTTAAAATGGTAAGAAAGAGTTTATGAGAGATAGAGAGAGAGCTCACTCCAAATAAGGAAGAGACAGCTGGGGATTTATAGCCAATGAGGGGGTCAGTGGATGGAGAATTCCTAAGAGGAGTCCTCAAGGGTAGGGGGATTCTTGCTAAACTGTCCTAACAGGATTCTTGCTAGAGGCTGGTCAAGTTCTTATACATCACAAGTGGTAGGTGAAGAACTTGATCAGATATCAAGGGTGGGTGATTCTTTTAAACTGACTTGGCAAGATTCTTGCTAAAACTAGGCTGGGAAAGCTGAAGACAAGACAAGGGCAAAGGTTGAGGCCTAGTCGAGAAGAGGGCTTAGGGGAGCCTGAGCAAGTTTTGGTCAAGTAGAGTGTCTTTGTAGCAACTGTTCTGTTATTTATCTGATATATTTCTTTAAACTGACTTTAAATTTTAGCTTTATGCATAGATTGAGGAATTAGTTATATGTATATTTACTAATATGCATTAATATAAGTACATAACTATTCAGATATTAAAATCATTTGTATATCACCTAAAGTTGTCTCAAGTACCAACAGTGGTATATATACCGCACTTTGGGAAATGCTGGTTTTTACAAAGAACTCAGAAATACTGATGAAAATGCTGCATTCCAGCCCTTGCCAGTGTGTTGGCTGTCAGTTCTAAGTTAATTACTTAAGGGCATTTCTTGAGGCTCATAGAAGGAGATGAAGACAGGGGGAATTGAGGGGTTGGGGGCAAGTCAGTGAGGTAAGGGTGAAGCCAGGTAGGCTGAGCTCCAAAGCTCCTGGCCTCAAAGACAACCCCTCCCTGGCCCCCAGATGTGGAGCTGGACCTCCAGAGGAGCGTGCAGGCTGTGCTTCGGGAGCTCAGTGCCCAGGCCCCGGCCCTGCGGAACCACCAAGGTGAGAGCCAACAGGCAGGTGGTGGCTGCTCCTGCTGCCTTCCCTACCCTACCCCAGCCAGCTCTGCCCACACGTTCAGGATAGGGCCCCAGCCTGGAGCTCACAGGGGTAAGGGGCTTCCAGCCCAGACCCCTTCCTGATGGAAATTTGTAGAGCCTGAAGGACTGAGATGAGCCTGAAGGACTGAGACGGCTTCTCTGCTCCCTGGTTCAACCCAGCAACTGTGGCAGAGCATATTGGGGATCTGCTGCCCACTTTCTTAACCACCTTCACTAGCTCCACTTCCAAACAAAATTCCCCTCGGCACTCCAGGCCCGCAAGATGTCCACAACCTGCAAACACTGCTGTTCTATGATCCACACAAACACACCCATCCCCACTGGTGTCCCACCTCTCCTGGTTTCTGTCCTGGGAGCTCAGTACCCACAAAAAGCTGCAGATCAGAATCCCCCCACATGTGCTGGGTCCCCAGAGCTCAGAGTCCTGCTCAGAGTGGTCTCCTCTAAGAGCCCTCTGCCCCTCC